GTGCTGAATAAGATTGATCTGAAGAATGCCGATCCTGAAGCTGTTAAAGAACAGCTGTTGAATCTGTTCGAGATTGATCCAGATGAAGTCTTGATGGTAGTATATGATTTGGATTTTGTTCTAGCTTCCCAAAAATGTAGAATTTACATTTGCAAATTACCAGAATGGATTTGACACTTGAAGATGGTAGATTCATTTGTCGATACTGTTTTATATTTGTATAGTTGAATTACATTTTGTGGAATACAATAAATTTAGTTATTGTATGTTATTGCCAGATATCAGCCAAGAAAGGAATTGGTATAGAAAAAGTTATTACAAGTGTCATAGAATCCATACCATGCCCAGCAAAGAAGTGTAACCCAGATGCTCCACTGCGTGCTTTGTTATTTGATTCTTGGTTTGATAGGTATAAAGTAAGTAGACCTACTGTTTTTATTTTATTTTTAGAAATCCACATGATATATTGATGAAATATAGACTCTCACTTATTACTGCTCCTTCTTCTTCTTCTTCTTCTTCTTCTTCTTCTTCTTCTTTTATTTTCCTTTCTTTCTGTTTATACAGATTGTGCCATAAGTGTTTAGTCACAGAAGAGTCAATAACTTGGCATGCCTGAGCTCACCTGTTCACCATATTCTTTAATTTTTGCAAAAAAAAAATGTTTTCCGTTTTTATTACTACTATTGTTGATATTGACTTTATCAACGCAATAAGACTTATGATATTAAAAGTTACATTAATAAGTATATGATATATGTAAACTCTAAGTAAAACTATACTCCCTATACATACAGTATAGGGAGTATAGTTTTCTTTTTTTCTTTCTTTCTTCTATTTTCTTTTCTTCTTTTTTTTCTTTTCTTTTTTCCTTTCTTTCCATTTCACCTTTTTTATTTAAGGTCTCTTATTTCCTCCCTTCTTTCTCATTATCTTGTTCCCTCCCCCCCTCCCTTTTTTCAGAAGAAGAAGAATGAATGAAAAAGGGAATTTTTCTCTTGTTTACACTCCTGTCTCTTCTTTATTATTTTATATAATCCCTCTAGCTTTTTTATTACTTATTATCCACCCCACCTGTTGTATATTTTTCATCCCTTTTCTTATTACTGTATTGTCTTTATTTCAGTGCTTGGATATCACTGTTAACTGTTTGGTTTGATGTATACTTGCTATGACAAACTACAGTTTTCTATTCACTGTCATTATTTCTCTTGTAGGGTGCTGTGTGCTTGATTTTGGTTGTGGATGGTACTTTAAGGAAGGGTGATACTATAGCATCAGCGCATACAGGAAAGTCTTACGATATCCGAGACCTTGGGATCCTTACACCTCAAGAAAGATCTGTTCAGCAGTTGTAAGTTAAAACCTGTGAGAGTCATTACTTACAATTTTTCCTTTATCATCTTTGAATTTTTCATGCATTTTCTACCTCAGTTTTTTTTAATCATCATCATCATGGTATTGCAGTTTATCAGACACCTTCTTCCTAGTACTTGTCTTCCTTTTCATCATCATTTTGTTATTTTTTTAATGTTTTTATGCCTCTTCATTCTCTCCCGTTGTTTTTCTTTTTTTCCTATGTCTTTTTTTCCTTCTTCCCTTTTCTTGTTATTTCTTCCTCCTTTCTTTTTTCTTCCTTCTTACTCCTTCCTCCTTTTCTTTTTTCTTCCTACTCCTTCTTCCTCCCTCTTCCTTCTCCTTTCTCCTCATCCTTCCTACCTTTATTCTTCTTACAACATACTTACAGCATACAAAGAACAGTTATGAACTATACATTCCTGCTTTTCTCATTCCATATACAGAAAGACCATCATTTTTATCATGAGATTAATTGGTATAACCCTTTCCAGTATGAGGGTTTGGTATGTTTACATTTACCACTTGGTTTTACAGATTTGCAGGTCAGGTTGGCTATTTCACAGCAAACATCCGATCAGCCAAAGAAGCTCAAGTTGGAGATACATTTCACCAGAAGGGCATTCCCTGTGAACCACTGGAAGGTTTCAGGCAAGCTAAACCTATGGTAAGATTTGTCCAAGATATTAAGCCATTTTCACTTTTTGGTGCTTTATTTCGCTTTAGAAATTTGATAGAGTGTAAGATAAAGCTTCCAGTATTATTTTCTGAGAAATTTCTAACTTTGAAGGATTTGACTTCTGTATTTGAATTTAGCATATTATGATAAAACAGTTTTTATATGCACATCTAATTTCTTTCTCTTGTACACCCATATCTTGAAAGGTATTTGCTGGCATGTACCCAATGGACCAAAGTGAACATCCGGCTCTGAGAGCAGCAATAGATCGTTTAACCCTTAATGATTCTAGTGTCTCTATCAATATTGAAAGCAGGTTAGTTCTTTGGCAGCTTTTTAGTTGCTTGGTTGCCTAAGAAATGGAATGAAATGCAGTATGCAGAATTGCATGAAGACAAATATACTGGATGGAGTTTCAAAGTCAGAATTGATTAATGATATAAATAGTTTCCAGTAATGGGTTTAGAATATATAACTATGAAAAGTAAAGTTTTCAGATTATTTGCAAAATGATTTTTTTTGCATTGGAATGGCCTTAATTAATTAATTTGTAAATCAGTGCAAGAGAAATAAAAATGTTGTTATTTGTGTCATATTATTTATTTTTTTGTAATATTCAATGTTCTGTAATAACCTGCACTGCCGGTCACAATGGCCAGTAATAGGATACTGAGCATGGAAATGGTGTCCTCCCTGGAGCCAGTGCTCTTCCAATCATGGTTTCCGGACATTACATTTCATACTCATTTATTGATGGGAATAATGCAAAAGCCCCATTCTGTGTGCTAAATGAGCATAATCACCTTCCAAGAGATTTGTGCACTCGTGGAGAGTCTTTCCCGTTTTTTATATAAAATTGAATATTCCTTAAGAAAAAAGACAACAAGATGTTACTGCTTTTATTATTGCATGGATTAATAGACTACCTAGAGAGATGATATGGAGTCTGTGCAAGGAAAACGGTCTATTACCATCTGGATAAGGTAAATCAAATGAAAAATAGAGACATTGGAAAATGGCAAAAAAAATAAAAACACATGTGCAGAAAAAGAGAAAATTGTTTTGTGCGTACCGGGCCTGGAAGCCACACACCCATCAGAGTGGCTGCTCAAGTAAGCCTAATGTCCATATATTGGGCCACATGGTGGCAGTGAAGCATCTTGATCCAAGGATTAAAATAATCATAATGTAAAAAAAAAAAAATACCAGTATCTAGATCTGTATCCCTTACAGAGTCATCTATGAGCAAAAAAATTCACACAAAAAAATACAGTGGATACTATGTGTACCCACATATCAGTGAGTTGACTGATTTGATCAAAGAATGAGGAGATATGCATTGTCTTTACACAAACCTTTCCAATTTCCAAGTAAATTGTCCCATCTTTCCTTGGAAACTGGAGAAATTAATTTTAATATATTGTTAGCATTATTAAGCATGACATTTCTCCACACAGTGCTGCTCTAGGTCAAGGTTGGAGGCTTGGTTTTTTGGGTCTCTTGCACATGGATGTATTCAACCAACGTTTAGAACAAGAACATGGAGCACAGGTTGTCGTCACTACACCCTCTGTTCCTTACAAGGCAAGTCATTTGATTGTCTTGCTTCCCTTTTACATCTGTTTATTGGTAGGAATGTTTATGTAATATATGATACTTATATCAGAATTTTACAATATTTGTCAAGAAAAAGAATGAGTGGCAGGAGTATTTCTGACTCTTGTATGTCACTAGGTAAGAATACATGGTGAGAAAGCACTTCGTGAATATGGAGAAGAGGAGCCAACTATTACCAATCCAATTCAGTGGCCAGACCCTCAGATAATTGTAGAGACAAGTGAACCAGTGGTGATGGGCACAATCATAACACCAGGTAAGCATTACTTCCTGCTAAAATAGATGGTAAAATTTGCTTTTTTAGACACATACACTGACACATAGAGACATATATGAATGCATTTTTTGCACTCAGTGTTCAAAACAAGCACCAACTGGAAAGCATTTTGAATGATTTCATTCTAGTTGTGATATATGTAGTTTTAGTGTGTCTTTTAGATGTAATTTTCACATTGTGTAAATTTCTTGTTTCCTATATATTCTTTTCATTTTAGAGGTACAATATAGTACTATAATATATGCAATCCACATTTTGAGTGATTAAGCAAACAATTAATTACTTAATAACTTCATTCTAAAATTACAGGCTTAGAAGTACAATTTTCTCTTCTTTTTTTTATCTTTTTTTTCTGACAAAAATATATCAGCATTATAAAATGACTACAGAATTCTGTTTTTCCCACATTTCAGATTCTTATCTTGGTGCCATTATCAGTTTGTGTCAAGACAGAAGAGGAATTCAGCACAACCTGAGGAATCTAGACCAGAACAGAATAATTGTTCAGTACAAATTGCCATTAAATGAGATTGTGGTAGATTTTTATGACAATTTGAAGTCTGTATCATCAGGTTATGCAACTTTTGACTATGAAGATATCGGATTTGAGCCATCTTCTCTCGTTAAGGTAGTGATACTTTCTGTATGTATATTATTTAATTTTCCATTAACCTAAAGATCCTTACAGACTGAAAATAACTACTGATACAAACAGACTCGGGTTTTCGTAAGATGAAGTCCACGAATTCTTTATATTTTTCAGCTGGACATTTTATTGAACGGCAATATGATCGATGAACTATCAACAATTGTCCATTCATCAAGAGCAAGAGTTGTAGGAAAGCAAATTTGTGAGAAGTTAAGCAATACGCTGCCAAAACATTTATTTCAGGTATAGTAATTATGTTTCAGAAAAATGTTTATGTTTTTCCTATATTTAACCTCTCTTAAGTTTATTTGTTGTGCAGGTTAAGTAGAACTTGAAACATGGATTAAAGATTCATATATGATTTATTTAACAAGGATGAATAGTTAATCATGTGAAACTTACTACCCATACAGATAGCAGTA